GTCAGAGACCAGAACATAACTTCACTGTCTGTTTAACATTGCATTGTCAGAGACAAGAACATAACTTCACTGGGCACACAACATTGCATTGTCAGAGACAAGAACATAACTTCACTGTCTGTTTAACATTGCATTGTCAGAGACAAGAACATAACTTCACTGTGTGTTTGAGACAAGAACACAACCTCACTGTGTGTCAGAGACAAGAACATAACTTCACTGTCTGTTTAACATTGCATTGTCAGAGACAAGAACATAACTTCACTGGGTACACAACATTGCATTGTCAGACACAAGAACATAACTTCACTGTGTTTCAGAGACAAGAACATAACTTCACTGTGTACACAACATTGCATTGTCAGAGACAAGAACATAACTTCACTGTCTGTTTAACATTGCATTGTCAGAGACAAGAACATAACTTCACTGGGTACACAACATTGCATTGTCAGACACAAGAACATAACTTCACTGTGTTTCAGAGACAAGAACATAACTTCACTGTGTACACAACATTGCATTGTCAGAGACAAGAACATAACTTCACTGTCTGTTTAACATTGCATTGTCAGAAATAAGAACATAACTTCACTGTGTACACAACATTGCATTGTCAGAGACAAGAACATAACTTCACTGTGTGTCAGAGACAAGAACATAACTTCACTGTGTACACAACATTGCATTGTCAGAGACAAGAACATAACTTCACTGAGTGTACAACATTGCATTGTCTGACAAAACATGGCTTCAAAAGAACACATTCTGGGTATATACGAGGAAATATGAGAAATGTGTCGAGAAATGTGTCTAGAATTCGTCTAATTAACATTTACGTACACTGAGAAGATACTAGTGTGTAAACCTAACCTAAGCCCTTCAACAAAACACTGCCGGTAATACCCTGACATAGCAGAGTACACTTCATGTGTACTGGCTGTGAGTCTGTGCGCTGACAAGATGACAAGGTACTGTCATTGTTCCTGGGAAGAGAACGGCTCACACAGGCATTTCAATACAACGTTTCAATACCGCGTGTAAGATGAGGGTTTTAGCTTCAATGAAAACAATTTGCTGTGGAATTGGGAACATAAAACCAGCAATATACCCGCTATACTAAAATGTATTTCCCCCGTTTGCCAGATGCCAACGTGGCTTCAGGTGCTTTACACATCTCGATGTTTTAGTACAATAACTCATTTACAAATGTTCCACAGATATGCTATCAGCTTTTGCAAGCTCTATTTGAGCGATATTTATCAATTTAAGCATGTCAGCTGAGCTGAAGAAATCATGACTAGATACCTTAATTCATCTTAAATTGACATGTTTGTGTTAAGGATGACAGATTGATACCGAGCTCAGTTTAGGATGTAAATTTTAAACTTTGGAAAAGTTGTCTTCCTTGTGGGACTAACGCTTGGCCACATGTTACAGTCTAAAAAACATAAAGACAATTTTCTTAACGTTTTCAAAAACGGAAATCGCTCGGGGCTACGTTTAACTTGGAAAAAGGGATTAATAAGTTCTTTAAAATGTAATGTGCCCCACTTTGTGCGTCAAAGCGGAAGCTTTTACTCGATTCAATCATCATATTTCTCAATTAGTAATTTGTGTGTACTAGACTAATGCAAACGCTTTAAGCAGGGAGGCGGTACCGAAAGCAATTTCTGTCGTTGCTCATTTCAAAGTTTGGAGAAAGGGGTGACTACGATGCATCAGTAACAGCAGGCGGGTGCATTGTCACGCCGTTGTTTATGTTAAAGATGGGAACTTATAGCAGAGGGAGAGGTGTTTAAGCCAGGAGAACTCACCGCTGGGTGGTGCCACGGAAGCCCCGCGGAGTAATTTATCAAGCTTTTCAAATTTAGAGCAATATCATCAGTTTGTGAAAGGCTTTCCAGAGTTACAAAGTAAGAGAACACCCAGGATCTAACTCAGGCCTGCGTCACCAACTAAAACTGACCTGTGTAAAACCCGACGCTAGTCGTCAGATAGGATCAAGTTACAACCCACATCTTTATGGACAAATCCATTTGGGGCTAGCTTCCACCGGACCAGCGTGATGGCCTTGCCACGATGCCATCGGTCGTGAGATCGAGCCGCAGTTTCTTTGAGGTTTTTGTGTGTCAAGAGGGGGTATGAGATTTGGTATAAACCATCACACAGGGAACACTGACGATGACAGCCACCATGACACCTTGCTGCCCGTCAGTGATGAGATTGTCACCATACATTTACGTTTCGTCGTCTCATGTTCTTGTGCACATAAAGGATTCCTCAACCGATGGTCAGTGTAGCGTTAAATCGGTTTTTGAGCTCCTTGGGGTAAGCGAGTACACAATAGCAAGCGAGTTAAATTTGGAGGTGATATATCGAGAGACATTGTCTTGGCTGAGAGAAGATTATAAGCTTAGTGGACCATCAACTATATTAGCAGACAACCAGCTATTGACACTAGATAGGGAATATGAACACATCAGATTTTTTGTCAATCAGAGCTATTCTGATTATTCCGGACAAAAGTCTGTCTGTTAATCCTTAAGTACTATTGGTGTTGGGCTGGATATTTTCATCGATGTTCCAATGGGTGAACGCGAGATAAATATTCAAGGAACATTTCTACATAGAAATTGCAATAGCAAAATATAGTATTCAAATGACATTTTAGTTGTGTTTTTCATGAAACATTAACACCATGGTATTTGGGTATTCAAGTGGAATTTTATAATTAAATTTGTAGGAATACTTTTATTCATAAAAAATTAACAAAATAATTTTAAAAATACGTACGTACTTCCCTTTTCACGTCTTGACTATAATAAGAGGTTATCCCCCGCGCCAGGTATATATAGCACTGTATTTAGTAAGCAAAACGATCAAAACACGATTGTTAGAGTGTCACTGAAGACAGTTCCCCGATCATACATATATGAAGCTCAGGTTTATATATGGAGAAATTGCAATATTGATCGGGAGATTGTGTCGACGCATGATAGCGTTATCTTGAATCCATTCCAGTTCCTCCTGTAGGTGTTGATTTCACCTATAAATCATGGTCCGTGTCAACCTGGGGAGGGGGGGGGGGGGATACTCCCGCTCTTCCTCATCCACACAAAGTAGTTTCTTTGAGGAAATATTCATTTTTATACTGTAAAGGTTAGAGGAAGCTTTCATGTAAAAACAGGGGTGAGCGGGTTATACAGCAGGGGAGAGATAGGGAGATGAATGATTTTCCGTCATGGGGTAAAATATAGTTCCTTTGTTAAGTTTTGAAAAGACACTTTCATGAGGGTAATATATTGTCACTGCACACACATACATGTGAAGATACATGCAGGCAACGGACATTACAGCTGCTGGAAAAACAATCAGAATCGAAAAAAAAATGACTTTACTAATATCTATATGTGCGTAGAACATTTATAAATGATGACATTTTGGCCTAATGAAATACGTTAAAACAAATTGGTTGAAAATATGAACTGTTTTCGGTAAATATATATGCATTCATAATTTATGCTTATTATATATATCTAGCCTTCAATACACAAACTCCCCCGCCGTTATATGGGTGTATTGGATGACTAGTCACATCTGTCCCACTCAGCAATCCTTCTTTCAAATGCATGGAGCGACTACTTCAACTGCCAGTGCCTGGAACTAAACGGACAGTATCTGATCCCGGGCACAGGTGACTTCCATGAAGTGACCGGAGATTCAGTCGGATATTTTACCGACGCATCACTCATTATCACTTCAATCACACGTCGAGGCCAGTCATTCAGTATATGTGTGCATTCTGTTGAAAATACTATTCAGCCGTACTGACCATTGTGGGCTGACCAATGGGACCTGACCAGTAGCAGCTCATGTGAACTGATTTAGGTGACATTGATGTTGATGTAAGCAGGTCATATCTCTAGAACCCCTGGGATGTGGTGCTCTGGTCACAAGCCTCCAAGTCTCAAATTTTCCATTATCTTTTGATTTAATCACATATTAAATCATTTAAATGAAGATAATTGAACAGGTATTAATAGAGAATGGGTGTTCTGATATGCGTCAGTGAAAACTAACTTTCAATTGCTGATATAAATAATCAAATGAATGAATAATGCGACTTTGTGATGCTTTTGCACTTCGTTTGATGTTGTAACTGTTATTTCTAACTGTTCTGTCGTTTATATGCATTACATAGCAAAGTTACAATGGCAATTTTGTCAATCAGTGAAACACTTGTACCCCTCCTAGATGTTTGTTGCAGTAAGTCACATGGCTGTTGTGCTTTTTTCTGTCTCTGTCTCCATTGCGTATAACATATAAGATTACATTTTTGGCGTGTTGGTTTGGATACTGTCCTAAGTTATCCTCGAGAAACTCTGGGTAACTCAGGTTGAATCTAGTCAAGCCTGGTTGCCAGAAATATGGTATCCTCTCAGAATCAGGTCACGCATATTTTTATAATTGAAGACGCCCCGTTTCGCATCGAATCAGAAAGAAAACTGAAATGCGTTGCTATTTTACCTGTACTCCATTTGATTAACCTGTTTTCTATCATCAGTATAGCTCTATTGGGGTGCTGTTGATTACACCTGTTTTCTATCATCAGTATACCGCTATTGGGATGATGTTGATTACACCTGTTTTCTATCATCAGTATAGCTCTATTGGGGTGATGTTGATTACACCTGTTTTCTATCATCAGTATAGCGCTATTGGGATGATGTTGATTACACCTGTTTTCTATCATCAGTATAGCGCTATTGGGATGATGTTGATTACACCTGTTTTCTATCATCAGTATAGCGCTATTGGGGTGATGTTGATTACACCTGTTTTCTATCATCAGTATAGCTCTAAATTGGGGTGATGTTGATTACACCTGTTTTCAACCATCATATAGCATTGGGGTGATGTTGAGTATCATCAGTATAGCTAAATTGGGATGTGATGTTGATTACACCTGTTTTCTACCATCAGTATATATGCGCTATTGGGGTGATGTTGATTACACCTGTTTTCTATCATCAGTATAGCGCTATTGGGGTGATGTTGATTACACCTGTTTTCTATCATCAGTATAGCGCTATTGGGGTGATGTTGATTACACCTGTTTTCTATCATCAGTATAGCGCTATTGGGGTGATGTTGATTACACCTGTTTTCTATCATCAGTATAGCGCTATTGGGATGATGTTGATTACACCTGTTTTCTATCATCAGTATAGCGCTATTGGGGTGATGCGATTACACCTGTTTTCTATCATCAGTATAGGGGGGTGATGTTGATTACACCTGTTTTCTCATCATTGGGGTGATGTTGATTACACCTGTTTTCTATCATCAGTATAGCGCTATTGGGGTGATGTTGATTACACCTGTTTTCTATCATCAGTATATTGGGCTATTGGGATGATGTTGATTACACCTGTTTTCTCATCAGTATAGCATTGGGGTGATGTTGATTACACCTGTTTTCTATCATTGGGCTCTATGATGTTGATTACACCTGTTTTCTATCATCAGTATAGCGCTATTGGGGTGATGCGCTATTCAGGGCGCCATTGATGATTGATTACACCTGTTTTCTATCATCAGTATAGCGCTATTGGGATGATGTTGATTACATCTGATCATTGATTGGGATGATGTTGATTACACCTGTTTTCATCATCAGTATAGCGCCATTGGGATGATGTTGATTACATCAGTATAGCGCTATTGGGATGATGTTGATTACACCTGTTTTCTATCATCAGTATAGCGCTATTGGGGTGATGTTGATTACACCTGTTTTCTATCATCAGTATAGCGCTATTGGGGTGATGTTGATTACACCTGTTTTCTATCATCAGTATAGCGCTATTGGGATGATGTTGATTACACCTGTTTTCTATCATCAGTATAGCTCTATTGGGATGATGTTGATTACACCTGTTTTCTATCATCAGTATAGCGCTATTGGGATGATGTTGATTACACCTGTTTTCTATCATCAGTATAGCTCTATTGGGGTGATGTTGATTACACCTGTTTTCTATCATCAGTATAGCGCTATTGGGGTGATGTTGATTACACCTGTTTTCTATCATCAGTATAGCTCTATTTGGGGTGATGTTGGATCCTGGGCATTGTTTCCACACCATAGGTTATCGGTCATAACTGATCGGGTTATGTGAAAATCACTCGAAGTAATATAAAAGGGAATGAATGTAATACACTGTCGACAGAGTCACACAAGGATCATCTGTTATTATCTACTGACACTTTTAATATATGCTTAATATCCACATCGTCTTGTAAATGTACCATCATATTTGACAATAACTTCTAAATAGCTTATTCCTAAACTATCTAAACTAACTATAGAACACCCTTAACGGTTTCCTCAGCCTGTTGTTCATCATATGTAAGCATAAATAATCACCGTCTTTGATATATGTGCGTTTGCGCTGGCGGGCGTGTGGGTGTATAAAAAACATTAAAGACAACATACACATCGAGCTGTTTACCAGGTAGTGACATACATCAGTGAACTATAGATATGGTAGCACCACCACTCGGTGTGTGGTATATCTGTGGTAGTGACATACATCAGTGAACTATAGATATGGTAGCACCACCACTCGGTGTGTGGTATATCTGTGGTAGTGACATACATCAGTGAACTATAGATATGGTAGCACCACCACTCAGGGTGTGGTATATCTGTGGTAGTGACATACGTCAGTGAACTATAGATATGGTAGCACCACCACTCGGTGTGTGGTGTATCTGTGGTAGTGACATACATCAGTGAACTATAGATATGGTAGCACCACCACTCGGTGTGTGGTATATCTGTGGTAGTGACATACATCAGTGAACTATAGATATGGTAGCACCACCACTCGGGTGTGTGGTATATCTGTGGTAGTGACATACGTCAGTGAACTATAGATATGGTAGCACCACCACTCGGTGTGTGGTATATCTGTGGTAGTGACATACCTCAGTGAACTATAGATATGGTAGCACCACCACTCGGTGTGTGGTATATCTGTGGTAGTGACATACCTCAGTGAACTATAGATATGGTAGCACCACCACTCGGTGTGTGGTATATCTGTGGTAGTGACATACGTCAGTGAACTATAGATATGGTAGCACCACCACTCAGGGTGTGGTATATCTGTGGTAGTGACATACGTCAGTGAACTATAGATATGGTAGCACCACCACTCGGTGTGTGGTATATCTGTGGTAGTGACATACATCAGTGAACTATAGATATGGTAGCACCACCACTCAGGGTGTGGTACATCTGTTGTAGTGACATACGTCAGTGGACTATAGATATGGTAGCAGCACTCAGGGTGTGTGGTATATCTGTGGTAGTGACATACGTCAGTGAACTATAGATATGGTAGCACCACCACTTCGGTGTGTGGTATATCTGTAGTGACAAACGTCATACATCAGTGAACTATAGATATGGTAGCACCACCAATCTGGGAGTGTGGTATATCTGTGGTAGTGACATACATCAGTGAACTATAGATATGGTAGCACCACCACTCGGTGTGTGGTATATCTGTGGTAGTGACATACGTCAGTGAACTATAGATATGGTAGCACCACCACTCAGGGTGTGTGGTATATCTGTGGTAGTGACATACGTCAGTGAACTATAGATATGGTAGCACCACCACTCAGTGTGTGGTATATCTGTGGTAGTGACATATATCAGTGAACTATAGATATGGTAGCACCACCACTCGGTGTGTGTGGTATATCTGTGGTAGTGACATACGTCAGTGAACTATAGATATGGTAGCACCATCACTCAGGGTGTGGTATATCTGTGGTAGTGACATACGTCAGTGAACTATAGATATGGTAGCACCACCACTCGGTGTGTGGTATATCTGTGGTAGTGACATACATCAGTGAACTATAGATATGGTAGCACCACCACTCAGGGTGTGGTATATGTGTGTATGGGAGTGACATACGTCAGTGAACTATAGATATGGTAGCACCACCACTCGGTGTGTGGTATATCTGTGGTAGTTACATACATCAGTGAACTATAGATATGGTAGCACCACCACTCAGGGTGTGTGGTATATCTGTGGTAGTGACATACGTCAGTGAACTATAGATATGGTAGCACCATCACTCAGGTGTGTGGTATATCTGTGGTAGTGACATACGTCAGTGAACTATAGATATGGTAGCACCACCACTCGGTGGTGGTATATCTGTGGGAGTGACATACGTCAGTGAACTATAGATATGGTAGCACCACCACTCTGTGCGTGGTATATCTGTGATAGTAGTGAGTGAGTATGGTTTTGCGCCGCTTTTAGCAATATTCCAGCAATATCACGCCGGGGGGCACCAGAATTGGGCTTCACACATTGCACCCATGTGGGGAATCGAACCCGGGTCTTCAGCATCTGTGATAGTAACATACGTCAGTGAACTATAGATATGGTAGCACCACCACTCGGTGTGTGGTAAATCTGTGGTAGTGACATACATCAGTGAACTATAGATATGGTAGCACCACCAATCTGGGAGTGTGGTATATCTGTGGTAGTGACATACATCAGTGAACTATAGATATGGTAGCACCACCACTCATTGTGTGGTATATCTGTGGTAGTGACAAACGTCAGTGAACTATAGATATGGTAGCACCACCACTCAGGGTGTGTGGTATATCTGTGGTAGTGACATACGTCAGTGAAATATAGATTTGGTAGCACCATCACTCGGTGTTTGGTATATCTGTGGTAGTGACATATATCAGTGAACTATAGATATGGTAGCACGACCACTCGGTGTGTGGTATATCTGTGGTAGTGACATACGTCAGTGAACTATAGATATGGTAGCACCATCACTCAGGGTGTGCTATATGTGTGGGAGTGACATACGTCAGTGAACTATAGATATGGTAGCACCACCACTCGGTGTGTGGTATATCTGTGGTAGTTACATATATCAGTGAACTATAGATATGGTAGCACCACCACTCGGTGTGTGGTATATCTGTGGTAGTGACATACGTCAGTGAACTATAGATATGGTAGCACCATCACTCAGGGTGTGCTATATGTGTGGGAGTGACATACGTCAGTGAACTATAGATATGGTAGCACCACCACTCGGTGTGTGGTATATCTGTGGTAGTGACATACGTCAGTGAACTATAGATATGGTAGCACCACCACTCGGTGTGTGGTATATCTGTGGTAGTGACATACGTCAGTGAACTATAGATATGGTAGCACCATCACTCAGGGTGTGCTATATGTGTGGGAGTGACATACGTCAGTGAACTATAGATATGGTAGCACCATCACTCGGTGTGTGGTATATCTGTGGTAGTGACATACATCAGTGAACTATAGATATGGTAGCACCACCAATCTGGGAGTGTGGTATATCTGCGGTAGTGACATACATCAGTGAACTATAGATATGGTAGCACCACCACTCAGGGTGTGTGGTATATCTGTGGTAGTGACAAACGTCAGTGAACTATAGATATGGTAGCACCACCACTCAGGGTGTGTGGTATATCTGTGGTAGTGACATACGTCAGTGAAATATAGATTTGGTAGCACCATCACTCGGTGTTTGGTATATCTGTGGTAGTGACATATATCAGTGAACTATAGATATGGTAGCACCACCACTCGGTGTGTGGTATATCTGTGGTAGTGACATACGTCAGTGAACTATAGATATGGTAGCACCATCACCAGGGTGTGTGGTATATCTGTGGTAGTGACATACGTCAGTGAACTATAGATATGGTAGCACCACCACTCGGTGTGTGGTATATCTGTGGTAGTGACATACATCAGTGAACTATAGATATGGTAGCACCACCACTCAGGGTGTGTGGTATATCTGTGGTAGTGACATACATCAGTGAACTATAGATATGGTAGCACCACCACTCAGGGTGTGTGTATATCTGTGGTAGTGACATACGTCAGTGAACTATAGATATGGTAGCACCACCACCACCACCGGTGTGTGGTATATCTGTGGTAGTGACATACGTCCAGTGAACTATAGATATGGTAGCACCACCACTCGGTGTGTGGTATATCTGTGGTAGTGACATACATCAGTGAACTATAGATATGGTAGCACCACCACTCGGGGTGTGGTATATCTGTGGTAGTGACATACGTCAGTGAACTATAGATATGGTAGCACCACCACCACTCGGGTGTGGTGGTATATCTGTGGTAGTGACATACGTCAGTGAACTATAGATATGGTAGCACCACCACTCAGGTGTGTGGTATATCTGTGGTAGTGACATACGTCAGTGAACTATAGATATGGTAGCACCACCACTCGGTGTGTGGTATATCTGTGGTAGTGACATACGTCAGTGAACTATAGATATGGTAGCACCACCACCACGGTGTGTGGTATATGTGTGGTAGTGACATACGTCAGTGAACTATAGATATGGTAGCACCACCACCACTCGTGTGTGGTATATCTGTGGTAGTGACATACATCCAGTGAACTATAGATATGGTAGCACCACCACCAGGGTGTGTGGTATATCTGTGGTAGTGACATACATCAGTGAACTATAGATATGGTAGCACCACCACTCGGTGTGTGGTATATCTGTGGTAGTGACATACATCAGTGAACTATAGATATGGTAGCACCACCACTCAGGGTGTGTGGTATATCTGTGGTAGTGACATACGTCAGTGAACTATAGATATGGTAGCACCACCACCACCGTGTGTGGTATATCTGTGGTAGTGACATACGTCAGTGAACTATAGATATGGTAGCACCACCACTCAGGTGTGTGGTATATCTGTGGTAGTGACATACGTCAGTGAACTATAGATATGGTAGCACCACCAC